CCTGTCATCTAACAGCGGAATACCTTGAGTGATTGACAGCTAATATGAACCAATATAGCGGCAGGGAAGAGCCATTCAGCACGTTTTTTAAAAAAATCTAAAGAGGTCACATTAATGCGCCCAAATATATTATGAGGTCGCATCGATTAATTTTCGGGCGCATATGCGACCAAAATGGTCGCAATTTCGAGCCCTGTGACATGATCAGTAGTCAACTCATTAATGATCACCTTTCAACAGATATGATCACTTGATAACTGTCTTTCCCATTGAAACCAGTCTTTAGAGCAAGCAAAAAAAAGATATCATCAGTCCTTAAGTGAAAGATCGGTTTCAGCAAACAGTTCATTAAGGGATGGCCACGGAATCAGTAGGAAAGTGGATGAAAAAGTCTACAAATATGAGGATGGATTGTCCAGGTCCTGTTGTGATGTCTTAAAGTGCATACCAAAAACCCTATCTGAGGTATAAGAACAAAAATGTTCCTCAAATAAGGGCATCAACAAACGACAGCGCAGTGAAGAAGGCTTTCCATGTGCTAGGCACAATACTTCCTACCTACTGCTTCTTCTCTATTTCCTTTTAAGCAGATCTTTCAGATTTTTCTTGAAGATCTAAATCTTTCCATGTCTTCTGAATGTACTGACAAGAAAGCATGTAAAAACTGAATCTGTTTAAAATATACATTTCTGTTTTGCTCCCTGGCATGTTATGTAATTGTTTCATTTTGTTATAATAAAAGAAGAATAAGAAAACATCCCTCAAAATGGCGGTCTATTATTTACCTTGGTACTTTGAATATTGGGTCAGAATTCGCATGTAAGAATGACTTCAAAACAACATTAACCCTATTTAATTGATGTTGTACTTTGATAGTCATTTGCTGATAATAGGATTTCACTAATTATAGTTTGCAAATAATATTGCAAATAAATTACTATTTACCACAAAGCCAAATAACAAAAATATCCGCTCTCTATTTCAGCGTGAGATCATCTCTTGTCCTAATGCTGTTTATTATTGGAACAGATAGGTAACATAACCTGGAAATAAAAAATTAAATAAATAAAAAGAGTATGGACTTCACCTCAGAAATTCCTTATGTACAATAAAATCCGTGAAGTGTTTTATAAAATAATACATTTCTGTTTTGCTCCCTGGCATGTTATGTAATTGTTTCATTTTGTTATAATAAAAGAAGAAGAAGAGAAAAAAAAAACATCCCTCAAAATGGCGGTCTATTATTTACCTTGGTACTTTGAATATTGGGTCAGAATTCGCATGTAAGAATGACTTCAAAACAACATTAACCCTATTTAATTGATGTTGTACTTTGATAGACATTTGCTGATAATATGATTTCACTATTTATAGTTTGCAAATAATATTGTATATATTATATAAATATATTTATGGAGAATCTCTGAATATAAAACCAACTTTTCGTCAATTTCAAAACATACCTCAGCAGCATGTGCTGCTTTTTTCAGCAGGGTTGTTAGGTAAAATGCAGACGTTTCTATTAAACAAAATCCTGGAAAAGCACGTTAAACTGAGGTTTTGTCGATTAGTAGACTATGATAATTACACTTTACCACTTTAAATTGTGTTAATTGTGCTATACAAACGACTGCGTTATGCCTAGTTCAGACTGCGTGATTTTAGCCCTGATTTTGGCTCGCCGACAGGTTTTGAGAAATCGCCGACAAATGCCTGAAATCACAGGCGAATCGCTGCTCGTGCAAGTGAGTGACAATCACAGTATGAACGATCAAAGACGCGATCTGAGAGAATCGCCGATGAGTCGCCGATGCCTGTGAGATATTTGGCGTGCTAAATATCTGGAGCTGTCGCCGATTCAAATCATGCCGTGTGAATTGAGTTTTGACTGAAAATAACATCAGCGATCGCCTACAGCCAATGAGAGAGCAGCTTCAATTCAATTCAATTCAATTCAGCTTTATTTGTAAGGCGCACAGTATCATCATTTGACACGATTAATCATAACATCGGTTCGAATCCACCATCAGCTGAACTCGTGCTACTTTTTTTCTCCCCATTACATATCAGATTGGAAATATATTTATTTTGAACAGGAAGGAAACATTTTTTAAAAATAATGCAAATGTGATATGTCACAAGTGTCTCCTGGGTATTTAATAATGTTTAGCCTTATTATAGGCGCCTGCCGCGCCTCCCTCTCTTCAAAAACTATATTGCTCAGACAACTGTATTTCTTCTGAGCAAAAAAATCGCGATCACATTTTAATATTATTATTATAGTTAAACTGCCTTTTTTTCGTTAACTAAACAGAATGCTGTAATTGGTCAAGCGCGGAAACGTCAGTTTTGTAATAACCCGCACTAAACTGAGCGGACTTTAGTGTAACGTTATATCTGTCATGGATCAAAAATGAGTGGACAAGTGGATTTAGCAAACGCGACAGAAAGAGGAGAGGAGGCATCTTTATTGAGGCATTTTCCATACACACCATCTTTAAACAGACCCATGATCAGGAGAATGAGGGTACAGAAGAAGACGTTATGGTAACTTTAAATGATGAGAAGCTAGCATTAACCAGGCGGAGGAGGCTAACGACAGCGCAGCGCGGACTGGATTCATCGTGTGAGAGACAGACAGAAGAGGAGAGAGAGAGAGAGAGAGAGAGAGAGAGAAAGACCCAGAAGAGGAGAGAGACGGGAGAGTAGAGGTATAGTGTGTGTGATTTCGGATACTTTTAGGTTTATAATCAAGTCTTCATCACGAGAAGAGTAGAGAAAATACAGGGAGAGGAGGAGAGAGACAGTAAATCAGTGTTTGTATTATGAAAGACTCAGATTCATAGAACTGGATTGGAGAAGCATTGTGCGTTATATGCCATGGCAATAATATGCTTTATAAGTTTGTAAAAGCAATACATTAAAATACCCTTAAAAAAATAAATAAATAAATATATATATATATATATATATATATATATATATATATATATAGTTTTATTAGTATTTTTATTCAATGCTTTGAAAAATAAGGTAAATCTTTGCAGACTATAAATACATATGTACTATATATAATTTATTTAAATATGCGGGCAACAAATTATATAGATTCATTTTATTTAAAAATTATTATATTATTCTTATTTTTTAAATTCAATTATAGGGGTGCGGCCAGGTAGGGGGCCTTACAAGACAATGTGCCCAGGGGCCCCTGAGTTCTTAATCCGGGCCTGGCTGGGGGAGAAGTTAAAAGCGCTCCTTTTCGGTTTATTTTGGACCCACGAAATGGAGGGAAAACTAGTGGAGGTTTGACAGGACTCAGGAGCAACCATGTCTGTTTGACGTTTAATACAGAAAGAAATTAGTTTATTATCTACGTTGAAGAGAAATGGCTAATTCCCTTTAAACCCAGGTGAGCAAACATGTACATGTTCTACCCCATTAAAGGCTTCTTTCTCATTATGTAGTTAATAACAAAAGATATACTACTTGTTTTTGGCTGTGAGACGTAGTTTGTACGAAGTTGTCGGCGATTCTCCCTATAGTAAAGTCATGCAATGTGAATGTTTATGTCGCCGAACCATCTTGCAGTGTAAACAAAGCAGCGATGAAACGCTAGCCCAGATAGTCATGCAGTGTGAAAACATCTGTGACACGACTAGTTTGAAAATCGTGCAGTCTGAACTCGGCATTAGGCCGCAGACAAACCAATATATTCTTAAATTTTCCGATGACACTGTACTATTGCACCTTTTCACAAAAGATGCCAGCATCAGGGAATACAGAGCGGCTGTAGAATGGTTTGTCAGCTGGTGTGATGACCACAATTTGGAAATTAATGTTAAGAAAACGAAGGAGGTCATCATAGACCCCAGGTCAGTAAGCGATAGGAGCTCTATTGTGGTTTATGATAAAGACATTAAGCAGGTTGATTCATATAAATATTTAGGAGTGAACATTGATAGTGAACTTAATTGGCACTCTCAGGTGTCAAGTCTTTGTGCAAGAGTTCATCAGCGATTACACTTTTTACGCAGACTAAGATTATTTGGAGTGAGTAGCAGCATAATGATGACTTTTTATAAGGCAACTATAGAGTCTATTTTAGGATATGGGATTATTGTTTGGTTTGGGAATCTGACAGTAAAAATGAAAACCCAAGTAAATAACCTGATGAGAGTGGCAGGAAAAATCACGGGAATTAAGACACTTGGTTCACTAAAAGACATCTTTGAGTTGTGCACAATCCAACAAGCCAACAAGATTTTATCTGATTCTTCACATGTGCTGTCTGTGGAATATGAGCTGATGAATTCTGGCAGAAGATATAGGGTCCCGTTGTGCAAGCATAATAGATATAAACATCCTTTTGTTCCTTTTTCAATTAAGTTGATCAACGAGCAAGCAAGGAAGGAAGGATGGTCAAAGACTAAGATAACAGGATTGGTTTGCACAACAGAGGGCAGTGGGGCATATGGTACTTTAATTATTAATTTTTTTAATAAAAATTTTATTAAAATTACTGATTTTATGGAATCATATTTATATTAGGAGGTATTTTAGGATTAGATTTTAATGTGTATGTATGTTACATGTTGTCTTGTTGGTGTCGATGTACAGCAGAACCTTTTTTCTAAAACAAATTTCTCCTACGGGAGACTATAAATTTTACCTTGACCTTAATTACGGTTATAAACATTAAGTTCTCCGATGCGAGCGAATCAAAACAGTCAATCATTACAAGAAAGCAAATAAATCGGAGTTTCAAAATGTCCGTTTCTGGTATCACTGCTTAGTTACCGAAAAAAAACAAACAAACGCGAATTCGGTTACTTACTGATTGATGACAGGTGTGAAATCATTCGGTTTACTCACTCCAAACAACCTCGTTAATAGAGTACAAGGCACTACGACGCTACATTATATACATATTTATGAGTCATAAATTATCTTAAGTAATAACCAAACACACAGAGCGCGTTAAATAGATAAATACAAACCTTTTCTCAGCCGAAACACAAACAGATGCGGTAGCGCAGCGCAGGCTAGTGACGTCATGTAAATGCAAAACAAAAGTCCTTTTCGTCTCACTTTACATTGGTGAGACTGTTATTCAAAAGTAATGGACGACTTTTTAATTACTGTGAATTTCTCAATATTACAAGATCCCCATAACTGCTAAAGAAAGTATTTCATGCAATTCCTTGTGGACTTGTTCAGCTCTTATTCGGTAATTAATCCTCTGAATCAAATCTATTAACAAGTAATAATGGTGTGGAAATTATAGACAATAATTTAATAACTGTTACATCAAAAGGTTATACAGAACCACATAGTTGCCTAAATGCAAATCTTTTTGGGATTCCTTAATTTGGTACTTACCTATAAATACTGTCTCACCAATAAAGTTAAAGAAGTGACATATAAACTGACATTTAATTTATCCAGTGAAAGAAGTTGTTAAAAATTCTTTAGAGACATGAATCTGCGTGCACTTTTGTGAATTAGAGGAGGAATTCATAAAACATCTGTTTTTTTTAAATGCAATTATACCCGAATGTTTTGGTTCGATGTTGAATATCTTTTATTTAAACTTACAAAAAAATAAAATGTTCTTTTTTTGATATACAAAAATAATAATACAATTTGAGCAAAATTTGTTTATTAATTTAATGATAATATACGGGAAGTACCATGTACACAAACAAAAATGGTCCAATGATAAACCTAATTTTTGTCAGTTTGAAACTGATCTCGCGAGGCAGTGGCGCAGTAGGTAGTGCTGTTGCCTCACAGCAAGAAGGTCGCTGGTTCGAACCTTGGCTCAGTTGGCGTTTCTGTGTGGAGTGTGCATGTTCTCCCTGCCTTCGCGTGGGTTTCCTCCGGGTGCTCTGGTTTCCCCCACAGTCCAAAGACATGCGGTACAGGTGAATTGGGTAGGCTAAATTGTCCGTAGTGTGTGTGTGTGAGAATGTGTGTGTGTGTGGATGTTTCCCAGAGATGGGTTGCGGCTGGAAGGGCATACGCTGCGTAAAAACTTGCTGGATAAATTGGCGGTTCATTCCGCTGTGGCGACCCCGGATTAATAAAGGGACTAAGCCGACAAGAAAATGAATGAATGAAGGAAACTGATCTCAAGCATTCAATCGAAACCCTAAAAGACACAAAAAAATAAAAAAGCTATAAGGATGTATGCAATTTGTTAATTTTTTTCTTACGCAAACTCTTGTAATTTCTATATCCCCTGTAATTTTATTTTTATTCTACTGATTTGTTCTTTTGATGTAAAAAAATGTAAGTATTGTATTCCGTATTTTTGTATGCTATTGTTCTTGTTATACAATAAAAAAACTAAATAAAACAAATAAATACAAATTTTCACTTCACTGTGAATACAGAACTGCAGAAATAATGAAATATATCACCGGTGTTTAAAGAACCCACATTTAAACACAGCAGTCATTCAGTGCAGACTTTCAGGGTTTTATCTGGAGTCTGGTTTACATTTTTTTTTTTTTTTACAATAACTAAGCATATAATTTGTAAATATATATTTTATGTTTTTTCCTCGATAGACCACTTTTGCTGAAATTCAATCAAAGTTTTCCCAGATCACACTGCTTTACATAATAAAAAAGGATACTAAATTCACGAATTACCATGTTTGTAAATGTGACCGGGCGGTGGGACTCGTTTTGGAGAATGTTATTTCAAGTATGCAACTTTATAAATATAAAATAAACCAACTACGCCACCCTGGTATAAAAGGGACCAGAGACCCAAAATGTTAGAAAAAGGCTACAGGTTCGCTTGGACAGAAAGGTAAAGGACTCAGAATCTGTGCAATGTAACAAGGTTTATATATATATATTTTTTTGCAACACCATAAAATGGACACAATTAAAACGGTTCAATACTCAGTTTCTGTAGATTCTCTTAGACTGATAGGCTGCCGGTCCTCCACCTCTCCAGGGCCGGAGTCCCCGCCGCTACCAATTCAGAGCACTGCAACACCCGTGAGGATCAGCACTACAAAAACCACAGCACTACTCTAAAATCACCCAGCGTGGACGACTCCAACTCAGCAAACCCTCCACCAAACTGCGGGTAATGGAGACGAAAAATTGTATGGGAATCCGCTCTGGAGAGAGAAGGAACAGGGCATTAATACCAAAACTGGGGAACACGCACACCATTTAAAGGCATCATTCACTTGCAATAAAAGTGTCCTTGCAACAGTTAAATGGCCAACAGTCAGTCCTAGTACAAACAGAAAATACAAACAAACCAAAGATGAACTCCCACAATATCCTAGAAACAACAAGTAGTTTGCATGTAAAGAAACCCTTTCCCACCCCCTCTCTCGCTCCCCCTACAGTAAGAGTGTGGGAAGCAGCATGAAAAGGTATACCTTGACCTACACTGAACCATGATGTTGCTGAATCCAGTAAAACAGGATCAAAACAGAGGCATAGAAAAATATAAAATCAACAAAAGAACATTTAGATCAACAAACAGACAAAAGAAAAAAAAGAAATGACGGACGTGTCGCAAAAAGTCATCCGGCGGACGGTCGGCGTAACATTTCCTCTAAGAGCAACAGTTAAGCGGGAGGAGTTTCAAGCAGATGCGTTGGTCAAGCCGTCGAGTAGACACTCACGTGCGAGCAGAAAACATCAACACGTACACTACAGCATCCCGTCTGGAGAGCTGAAGGCATCCGCTCCTCCCCAGGAGTCACTCCGCCATGCAACGGCAGCGCGACCGAAAGATCGCCAGTGCCCGGATGTAAACAGTCAGAGCGGCCCCTTTTACAAGAGAGACGTTAAAGGCCTAAAAGTCTTTGGATGCCTACAATGTTCTGTGTGGTCATGTGCAAGAAATAATGCCCCATGATCACCAGATTCAACACTATGTAGTGCTAAAAACCGAGATTCTAGCCAAAGACAAAGAAAGAAGACGGAGTGTGGAGAGGTAAGCGTGATCGAACACCCAATCAGGGGGGAGAGCATGCTAGGAGCCCGGCGGCTAATCAGCGGGTCAATCAGAAATGATAAATAACACCTGTCTTTCTAGTGATTGGGCCGGAGAGACTCCCTTCTTAAGGAGAACGGGAGGAGCAGTCGGGAGAGGAGAGAGCACACACACACACACGCACAGACGGGCACAGTTTGCTAGTGCTGTGGAAAAGCAAAATAAAATTTATTGCTTACCTGATATCGCCGACCCTGTCTTCTTCTTCCCACACAACAACGAACTATACTACAGTGGTGCCGAAATCCGGGGAAGGAGAAGAGCCTCACTGCCAGAATGACCACTCCGTCAAGAATGCCATTTGCGGAAGCTATCCAGGCCCTCTCGGTCCTCCACCAACAACAACATGAGACGCTGGTGGAACTGAAGAACATCCAGGAACAACATTTCCAAGTCCTCATGGAGGCCCAGCGGGAGGACCGCGAGCAAATCCGGAGTCTGCTGTCCCAGGGGATCCGGCCCGCTCCGACATCTGCCGCCCACCCTCCCATCACCTTACAGAAAATGGTGCCGGAGGATGATCCGGAAGTGTTCCTGGATCTTTTTGAAAAGATGGCTGAGGCGTGTGGCTGGCCGCGGGCTGAGTGGCCGGTACGAGTCATCCCGCTGCTCTCGGGCGAAGCCCAGATCGCCGCACAGCAGCTACCGGCCCAGAATCTCCTGGAATACGCTCATCTGAAGCGAGCTATTCTCCAGCGGGCCGGCCGCAACCCGGAGGAGCAACGTCAGCTCTTCCGATCGCTGGTTTTGGCTGAAGGCGGCCGGCCCTTTGCGTTCGCCCAGCAGCTCCGTGACGCCTGCCGCAGATGGCTGATACAGGATGGCCGAACCACCGCCCAACTGGTGGATGCCGTGGCGCTGGAGCAATTCATCACCCGCCTCCCCTCCCAAACATCGGAGTGGGTCCAGTGCCACCGGCCTGATGATCTGGAGACGGCCATCCGACTGGCGGAGGATCACCTGGTGGCGAGGTCCAGGGTTGGCGAAATAACCTCTCTCTCTTCTCCCCCCTCTCTCTCTCTCTCTTCCTGTTCCCAGGCCCAGACGGCGGGGACCGCCCACACCAGCACCCAGGCGGCGGTGCACAGAAGCGGATCCGCTGAACGTCCCAAGGGGGGCGGGGCCCTATCTGGATGGAGGGGTGGAGCCACGACCCCTGGCGGTTCCCCAGACAATGACAGGTCTCTCTCCGGTTCAATCAGTTTATACTGCTGGCCCCGGGGGTATAGTGAGAATGTCTGGGCCGAGGTATTGGCACCGCGGGCACGAGGATAGCGCACCAAAAGTTTGCTCCATGAAGGAGGTGAGTGCGCTGATTCGCGTTCCCGCCACGCCAATCGTCGCCCCCGGTCGCGACGGGTTATACCGGATACCTGTGAGTATAAAAGGGGGTACATATCAAGCTTTGGTGGATTCGGGGTGTAACCAAACCTCCATCCATCAAAGCCTGCTTCAAGACCCGGCATTGGATACGAGCCGCACTGTAAGGGTAAGGTGTGTGCACGGGGATGTTATTCACTACCCGCTAACGGCAATAGATATTCAATTCCGGGGGAAAAAACATAGTGTAGAGGTAGCGGTTAACCCGCACCTCAAACACCCGCTAATTCTGGGAACTAATTGGCCTGGATTTAATAGATTATTGGGAGTTTTATGTGCGGGTGTTTCTTGGAAGAAGAAATCGCTGGATAGGGGGCGAGTCGCTCAGCTGGGGGAATCCCAAGCAGTGACGTCACGCGCTGACTCAGGGGAAGGGCTGGGAATTTCCCGGTGTAAAGACTTTCCCCTGGAGCAGTCGCGTGATGATACACTAAAACATGCACTCGAAAGAGTGCAGGTTATTGATGGGAAAATCCTCCAGCCTGATAGACCCCTCTCCTATCCGTATTTTGCGGTGATTAATGATAGGGTGTATCGAGTGACCCAAGACGCTCAGACAAAAGAAGATACAACCCAGCTATTAGTACCAAAGAGCCGCCGGGAAATGCTTTTTCAGGCGGCTCATTCTAATCCTATGGCCGGACATTTAGGTCAGGCGGCCACACTAAATCGCCTCATTACCCGATTCTTTTGGCCGGGCATTCACGGTGACGTCAGCAGATGGTGCGCGGCGTGCAGTGAATGTCAGCTGGTAAATCCGCCGGCCACCCCAAAAGCGCCATTGCGCCCTTTACCAATTATGGAGATCCCCTTCGAGAGAATTGGTATGGATCTCATCGGGCCATTAGAGCGATCTGCACGCGGGCATCGGTTTGCATTAGTTCTGGTGGATTATGCAACCCGCTACCCGGAAGCAGTCGCGCTCCGTAACATCTCAGCAAAGAGCGTTGCGGAGGCGCTGTTTCGCCTCATCTCCCGTGTGGGAATCCCCAAGGAGATTCTCACTGATCAAGGCACCGCGTTCATGTCACGCACGATGCGCGAGCTTTACGGATTATTGGGCATTAAATCTATTCGCACCAGCATCTATCACCCACAAACAGACGGGCTGGTGGAAAGATTTAATCGCACGCTTAAATCAATGATCCGTAAATTCGTTCACGAGGACGCGAAAAATTGGGATAAGTGGTTGGAGCCCTTATTATTCGCTGTGCGGGAGGTTCCCCAAGCCTCCACGGGGTTTTCCCCCTTCGAGCTTCTCTACGGCAGACAGCCCAGAGGGGTTTTGGATGTTGTTAGAGAGGCTTGGGAGGACGAGCCTTCTAATAGTAAGAATGAAATTCAATATATCCTGGACCTTAGAGCAAAACTCCACACACTGGGTAGGCTCTCTACAGAGAATTTGCTTAAGGCTCAGGATGACCAACGCCGGCGATATGATAAGGGCACTAAACTCCGTAAATTTTCACAGGGAGATAAAGTACTTGTACTGCTACCCACTTCCAGCTCTAAATTACTCGCCAAGTGGCAAGGGCCGTTTGTGGTCACACGACGAGTCAGTGATCTCGATTACGAGGTGGTTCGTTCGGACAGGGCTGACTCGCGTCAGATTTATCACATTAATCTGCTTAAGCAGTGGAGGGAGCCGGAGGACGTGGCGCTGGCTACGCTTGTTACTAACGAGGATGACCTGGGGCCGGAGAGCTCCGGCCGTGAACGGCCGAGCGCTCTGGTCACCGGGGGCGATCATCTCTCAGCGAGCCAGCTCCTCGACATCCGGCACCTCCAACGTGAATACTCTGACGTGTTTTCGCCCCTGCCCGGTCGTACTAACCTGATTCAGCACCATATCGAGACCGAACCGGGCGTGGTCGTTAGGACCCGGCCGTATCGCCTACCTGAACACAAGAAAAAAGTGATTCGGGAAGAATTGAGTAATATGTTGAAAATGGGAGTAGTGGAAGAATCCCACAGCGACTGGGCCAGCCCGATTGTCTTGGTGCCTAAGACGGACGGCTCGGTCCGGTTCTGTGTGGATTATCGCAAGGTGAATGCGGTGTCAAAATTTGACGCTTATCCAATGCCGCGTATTGACGAGTTGCTCGACCGGTTAGGTGCTGCTCGATATTACTCGACATTGGATTTAACGAAGGGCTATTGGCAGATCCCCTTATCTCCAATATCCCGCGAAAAAACAGCCTTCACTACGCCGTTTGGATTGCACCAATTTGTGACGCTTCCGTTCGGGCTGTTCGGGGCACCGGCGACGTTTCAGCGCCTGATGGACAAAATACTCGGCCCTCACACAGCATATGCCGCTGCTTATCTAGATGATATCATCATTTACAGTAATGACTGGCAGCGGCATATGCAACATTTGAGGGCGGTATTGTCGGCGCTGAGACGGGCCGGGCTCACGGCCAACCCACGGAAGTGCGCAATTGGGCGAGTGGAGGTAAGGTATCTGGGCTTCCACTTAGGTCACGGGCAGGTGCAGCCCCAAATTGATAAGACTGCAGTCATTGCATCCTGTCCGAGACCTAAGACCAAAAAGGAGGTGAGACAGTTTTTGGGGCTGGCAGGATATTATAGGCGTTTTGTCCCTAATTATTCGGCCCTTGTCAGCTCATTGACTGATCTCACTAAAAAGGAGGGACCGGATACCGTCCAATGGTCGGAGCAGTGCCAACAGGCCTTCTCAAAGGTAAAATCTATACTTTGCGGGGGGCCGCTATTGCACGCTCCTGACTTTGCTCTCCCCTTTGTGTTACAGACGGACGCATCCGATCGGGGACTGGGGGCGGTTCTCTCGCAGGAGGTGGCGGGAGTGGAACGGCCGGTGCTGTACATTAGCCGCAAACTCAGCAAGAGTGAGGCTAAGTACAGCACCATAGAGAAGGAGTGCCTGGCGATCAGGTGGGCCGTTCTCACTCTCCGCTATTACCTCCTGGGTAGGGAATTCGCTCTCTGTTCAGATCACGCTACTCTCCAGTGGCTTCACCGCATGAAGGATACCAATGCGCGGATCACCCGTTGGTATCTAGCTTTACAACCTTTTAAGTTCAAGGTGATCCACAGGCCGGGCGTACAAATGGCTGTAGCCGACTTCCTCTCGAGGGCGGGGGGGGGGGGGGGGGGGGGGGGCTGCAGCCCGGACGACTCCCCGGCCTGAGGCGGGCGGTGGGGGTATGTGGAGAGGTAAGCGTGATCGAACACCCAATCAGGAGGGAGAGCATGCTAGGAGCCCGGCGGCTAATCAGCGGGTCAATCAGAAATGATAAATAACACCTGTCTTTCTAGTGATTGGGCCGGAGAGACTCCCTTCTTAAGGAGAACGGGAGGAGCAGTCGGGAGAGGAGAGAGCACACACACACACACGCACAGACGGGCACAGTTTGCTAGTGCTGTGGAAAAGCAAAATAAAATATATTGCTTACCTGATATCGCCGACCCTGTCTTCTTCTTCCCACACAACAACGAACTATACTACACGGAGCTATACAAGGCCTGGGTAATCATCAGCAAGCAAAACAACTGCATTCTGACAGCAAACTACACCTGTACGGCAGGGTATGTGAACTTACACGTTTACGTTTCATTCTAAGCATTCCGTGTCCGCAGTTTAATTCACCATGTTTAACTTTTCTTGCTGAAATCATTGCTGCAAGCAAACACAAGTAATGAGTATGATTCAGCATAGTGTGAACTTACCTGATATAACCTGAGAACTGCAGAGTCCAGCATTTCTAATTAGGTCCTCACTCCATTCAGCTCCCTTTTAGCCAGAGACATCTCCAGTTGGCATTAAAAAAGTGTGGAGTACGGTAAAAGTTGAGTTTGGCATCCTACCGCACAACACCACATGTTTGCTATTGCAACAGGGAACCCGATGTGTGACGTAGGTTGGTAATTCCTCTATAGCAGGGGTCACCAATCTCATTCCTGGAGGTCCAGTGCCCTGCAGGGTTTAGCTCCAACTTGCCTCAACACACCAGCCTGGGTGTTTCAAGTATACCTAGTAAGACCTTGATTAGCTTGTTCAGGTGTGTTTGATTAGGGTTGGAGCTAAAATCTGCAGGACACCGGCCCTCCAGGAACAAGTTTGGTGATCCCGGCTCTAAAGTGTGGAAGCTGCTGATGTGGAAAATTCCACTGGCCAAAAGGGGGTTACTTAAATATGCTATTTCTGTGTTATATACTAAAAAATAATTCTTAGAAATGCTTTTATTTAATCATACTGGCACATTTACACAATCATCACTGGTAGATCATGTCATGATGGTCATTTATTTAAAAATATTACGAATAATATTGTTCAGTCCTGTGAGACTACACACTAGATGTGTTGCAGTTCGTCCACACACTTTTCTGCTTGTAGAACTGTGCATGATGTGGCCTTTGTCACCAAATTGACATTGCCTGGATTCCCATATATATTTACAGTGTTATCGATGAAACACATATCAATTCAAGCACCCCTTTGACATAAACTGGAAAATTTTTAATTCAATAGACGTGCAGCTAATGTGCAACACAGACAGCAAAATAACAAATGTTACTGCTGAGTGACCTGGAAGCAGGGCCGGAGCAAGCTGAACTGCCGCTCTAGGCAGAGGATGATCACGCCGCCCTCAACCACAATGTGAAAACGAAAGTGACCGGTTATGATAATGAAGTGAGGTGTCGCGGACCTATTTTCCGGCGCACTATGCGCGGATATAACTGAGGACGCGCGGGTGCTGAGGGAGGGAGGTGTCGTGGACACTGCGGTCTTTATTCTGCTGCCCTATGCACGGATATAACTGAGGACGCGCGGGTGAAGAGGGAGGGAGGTGTCGTGGACACTGCGCTCTTTATTCTGCTGCCCTATGCACGGACATAACTGAGGACGCGCGGGTGCAGAGGGAGGGAGGTGTCGTGGACACTGCGCTCTTTATTCTGCCGCCCTATGCACGGATATAACTGAGGACGCGCGGATGTCGCGGGCCTCAATTCTGCCGCCTGACACGCGGGTGCTGATGGAGGTGTCGCTGACGCCACCCTTACTATTCTGTCATCTATGTGCGAATATATCTGAGGACGCGGGTGGTGAGGGAGGTGTCGCGGACATAACTGAGGACGCGGGTGGTAAGGGAGGAGTCGCGGACGCCGCCCATTCTATACTGCCGCTCTAGGTGGCCGCCTAGGTCGCCTCTATGAACGCACCGGCCCTGCCTGGAAGTACCATGATGCAGGGCTGACGTGTCCATAGAGCTGACCTAGGTGGCTGCCTAGGTCAGCGCACTAGTTGAGCTTGCTTTGCCCTGCAGGTGTATTATCAGATAGCAGCATTTATGAATGTTTCGAGAACGGATCACACAATGGCCTACCTTTAGGGGACAGTGGTTACCCCTGTTGTTCATGGCTGATTTAAATAACGTAAACTTGGAGCGTCACGGTGGCGCAGTGGGTAGCGAAATCGCCTCACAGCAAGAAGGTCACTAATTCATGCCCCGGCAGGGTCAGTTGGCATTTCTGTGTGGAGTTTGCTTGTTCTCCCTGTGTTGGCGTGGGTTTCCTCCGGATGCTCCGGTTTCCCCCACAGTCCAAACACATGCGCTATAGGTGAATTGGGTAAGCTAAAATTGTCTGTAGTGTATGTGTGTGAATGAGTGTGTATGGATGTTTTCTTGTGATGGGTTACCGCTGGAAGGGCTGCAAACACAAGTTTGATGTGGTAAAAGTGTTACACATGAAAACTAACTATCACCTTGATTTGCAGGGACACTCTTTCCACAGTTGCCAGGTAAAAGATCTCTAATGTTTGTAAACTTTATTGTGGCTATAAAGGCCGCTTTTCTGTTTAAAAGCCTTTCCACATCCAGAGCAGGCGTAAGGTTTTTCTCCAGTGTGAACTCTCATGTGCATTTTAAGAGTGTGTTTTACAGAGAAACTTTTCTCACATTGTTGGCAATTAAAGCGTTTCTCTCCGGTGTGAAGGTTCATGTGAACTTGAAGGTTTTGCTTTTGAGTGAAACCCTTTCCGCACAAGTAACAAACGAAAGGCTTCTCTCCAGTGTGAACTCTCATGTGGTCTATAAGATGTGCTTTTTGAGCGAAACTCTTTCCACATTTTCGGCAAGTAAACGGCTTCTGGCCAGTGTGAGTTCTCATGTGAACTTCAAGGTGTTGAATTTGATTGAAACCCTGTCCGCACTGTTTGCAGGTGAACAGCTTATCTCCGAAGTGAACTCTCATGTGGATTTCAAGGTTCTTTTCACGACAGAAACTCTTCCCACAGTGACGGCACATATAAGATTTGGTTTCCTGAATTGTGGATTTTTTATCAGTCCTTAAACTGTGTTTCTGATCTACTTCCTCCATTTCATCAAGTTCTTGAGTCTCTTCTTTCAGCAGCATTAGACCTGAAGTCAACAAAAAGAACATATAGGCATCAATAATAGCATTTAGGCATCAACACCAACAACATGCAAGTTAGCTTTAATAAGCACTCAGCTGCTTAAATGTTTTCTGTTTTCCCAGAATGTCTCCTTTTGAACTTATCACTTTAAACCTGTTTACATGTCGTCACATTATACGTTTTTTCAAATTTTATTTGAGAAAATGATTCCATTTACAGTTGGCCACATAAATGCATCTTCAAATCCCACACTATATTTGAATTTAACTAGGTTACTGTTACGATAACCAGCGATCGTTCTACAGAGAACAGAACAATTCATCAAACTGGGCTTGGCTCAGTCAGAAGAACCGTAGAAAGCCTCTGTGATCCAGGTTCAGTTTCTGGAGGAGTTTATGAGCTCACACAGCTGGATGCACCTCTGAAAGTATGTAGTGGACTCAGACAAGGTCCTAAACGTATCGACGCTGTTTTTCAGTCTTCATAAAGCACATAAACACTGATATTTTCTTCATAAAATCCATGTTAGCCATTTAGCTATGAAGCAAGAGTCTTCGGGCAGACAGAAGCCCTGCCCAGCACGCGAATCCGGGTCTGTTCTGAAGTGAATTTGACACACAAATGAAGTGGATTTCACGCACGAATGAAGCGAGTAAACTCAAATGTTCACGCGGCTATTTACACGTGAATATCGCGATTTATCCACGCGTTCCGCGTCTGGTGTGAACACAGCATTAGAAGTGTTTCTCATATGATACATGAACGACCCGTACGGATTTACATTTACTCGAGTAAAAATGACGTTATCTGAAACACGCCAATGGAAATGCAAGCTTGATAAACGTGACCCGTACCGACCTGTATCGTACCTCTCAGTGGAAACGAGCCATAAAGATAACTATAAATCAACCCATAAGCATTATACAAAACAGTGTCTTCTTGATTAAAGTGTTACATATGAAAATGTGATCAACCCAAGTTAGTTTTCATGTGTAACACTTTTACCACACCACATTTGTGTTTTTTTTGTTTAGCAAGCAAGTTTTTCCACTACTGACAGGTGAACTATCTCTAACCTTTGTGGGTTCTCATGTGGTAATCCAGGTTGTTTTTCTGTGTAAAACTCCTGTCACATTGTCGGCAGCTAAAACGTTTCTCTCCAGTGTGAATTCTCATGTGAACGTGAAGGTTTTGCTTTTGAGTGAAACCCTTTGCACATATTTGGCAGATGAAAGGCTTCTCTCCAGTGTGAACTCTCATGTGGTCCATAACGTGTGCCTTTTGACTGAAACCCTTTCCACATTTTGGGCAAGTAAACGGCTTCAGACCAGTGTGAATTCTCATGTGAACTTTAAGGTTTTGGGTTTGTGTGAAACACTTTCCACATTGCTGGCAGGTAAGATGTTTCTCGCCGGTGTGAACTCTAATGTGAGCTGTGAGGTATTGATTTAGAGAAAAACACTTCCCGCACTGTTTGCAGGTGAACGGCTTCTCTCCAGTGTGAACTCTCATGTGGTTTTTAAGGTTTTGTCCATTTCTAAAATGCTTCCCACAGTGACAGCACTTGAATTTAGATTCGGTTTCCTGAACTCCTGTGGATTTTTCATCAGTCCGCAAGCCTTGTCTCTTATACTGATCTATTTCCTCCATTTCATTAAGTTCTCCAGTCTCTTCTTTCAGCACCATCCAACCTGAAGCAAACAAATAAACAAGTCAGCCCCAGTTTAAACACAAAGCAACAGAGATGAAGATTATTATAATAGCATGTAGGCATCAAAACCAACAACATGCATGTTAGCTTTAATGAGCACCCAGCTGCTTAACTCTTTCCTCGACATTGATGAGATAACTCTTCAATTAAGAGACCATGCTTTACCACCATTGGTGAATTTTTAAGACTATCTGTGTTTTAGGGTGCTTTCACACCTACACTTTTGTTTCGGAACGTATCTCGTTTGCCCAGTTAGCGCGGTTCGTTTAGCATATGTGAACAGGGCAATCGCGCTCTGTTCCTCGCCAAAGTAATCGCTCCGAGATCGTTTGAATGAGGTGGTCTCGGCTCGATTGAAACGAACCCTGGAGCGGTTCGGTTGCAATGAGAAAGCGATCCGATCCGAACGCGGTTATATCACAGTGTTTTATGGATATGTAATAGGCTTACGGCCATATGAAGAGAGACTTATGAGTATGGCAGGAAGTTTCACGAGTCTCCGGATGCCCGCAAACGAGTGATGATCTCCCGGTAATCTCGCGTCTCCCTCCCGGTTCTCAAATAGGCATCGTCGCGCACCCTTCTCACCCCACACCCTGTCAATCACCACCAAACCACCACCTCTCCTGACAGCTGAGTGGGACGCTGCAAAATAAACCCTGACACTCTGACCAATGTAAGGAGAGTTTACTCGCACGTGACTTGTTTTAGCTCTTTTGGTCCAATTAGAAACTTTGCCGTGTGAAAGCGAACCGCTCCAAGAGCAAAGAGCAACAATGTAACAATTGTAATCTCGGTTTCGGAACAACTGAATCGATTCAGAGATGTGAAAGCACCTTTAGGGTGCTTTCACAGCTACACTTTTGTTTCGAAACGTATCTCGTTTGCCCAGTTAGCGCGGTTCATTTGGCATATGTGAACAGGGCAATCGCACTCTGTTCCGCGCCAAAGTAATCGCTCCGAGATCGCTTGAATGAGGTGGTCTCGGCTCGATTGAAACGAACCCTGGAGCGGTTCGATTGTAGTGAGAAAGCGATCCGATCCGAGCGCGGTTGTATCACTGTGTTTTATGGATATGTAATAGGCATATACGGCTATATATGAAGAGAGAATTATGGGTATGGCGGGAAGTTTCGCGAGTCTCCGGATTCCCGCAAACGAGTGATGATCTCCCGGTAATCTCGCGTCTCCCTCCCGGTTCTCAAATAGGCATCGTCGCGCACCCTTCTCACCCCTCCCCACCGCGTCTCTCCTCAGACACGTCTCGCGCTCGCGCTCGCGCACCCTGTCAATCACCACCAAACCACCACCTCTCCTGACAGCTCAGCGGGACGCTGCAAAATAAACCCCTGACACTCTGACCAATGTAAGGAGAGTTTCGCCGCACGTGACTTGTTTTAGCTCTTTTGGTCCAATTAGAAACTTTGCCGTGTGAAAGCGAACCGCTCCAAGAGCAAAGAGCAACAATGTAACAATTGTAATCTCGGTTTCGGAACAACTGAATCGATTCAGAGATGTGAAAGCACCTTTAGCTATACGGTAGGAGAAGCCCTAACGCAGGGGT